GGTTGAGTATGTAATACAGTAAGGACAATGTCTTCACTTAAAATTCTAAAATATTTAGTTATATAAGCCACAAATGATTAAATAAAAATGCTAGGAGTAGTCACTCATCATAACACAGAAGTAACTAAATTTTTTTTTCAGACAGGCACCACACAAAATTTTACCTGATTGAGTATTTTTCTGTAATTTAAGACAGCCATAGATCTATTTTGTCTACTAATGCCAAAATACTAAGGCACGTGACATTTTTACTCACTCAGGTGTGTCTTTAACACACTAAGGAATTAAACAGTGTTCTAAACAAAAAGACAGGATAAACCAATATGAAAAGGATGAGAGACATTTTGGAGAAATCAGATATTTCACTATCCAAAGCAATTTTTAAGAAAAGGATAAGATGAGGTAATGCATTTTGATTTTCAGAAAAAGAGGTCATGATGTAATAAAGATTGTCATTCCGTATCAGATCTCTTTATTTACATTTTGAAAGAAGGTGTGGAACAAAACATAAGTTTCCAAAGGACTACCTATTTGTCACTAAAAGACACAATACATGAGGGAGCTGACAAGAATGTTACTGTGTCAATGTTGATCACCCACCCCACACTCAGGAAACATATATGTATTTGGAACCAGTATCAAACACCGTTGCCTAATTTAAAAATACTCCTGGACTTCTTACTGATCAATAACTCTTACAGAAAGGATAAGAGTATATAGAGCATCTGAACTGAAACAGTATTATTAGAAAATGATATCGTGAGCATTTAGGATGTATAATTCATGTTGCTTTCATTTGCTCAGACCACTGTAAAAATCCATAAATCATTTTCCTGTTCATGTATTGCTTAAGTGCAATTTGTCATTTTGCATTAAAGGGCTGCTTCAGCTCATCAGTGCTTTTAATTCACTGTAGAGTTTAACAAAACGCTGGCCCTGTCTGATAACCGAAAAGACACTGAAATGTGAAGCCACACCAATATTAACAAGGTTAAAAAAAATGGAGAAGAATGGTTCTACATCAAATATCAAGTAACACTTAAGAGCTGGTATTCTCAGCCCGCAAAACGTGGGTTGGTTTGTTCTGTTGGGTCCAAAGGATTAGAAAAGAGTTACCTGAATGCTTACAATAGCATGTATATGCTATAAATCTTTTCCAGAAACTCTAGTCAACACTCACTCTACTGTAGATGAACAAGAACGACCAGTGTGGCATTGGCTCCAAAGCCTTGCCTTCCCACTTCTTAAGTTAGGTTACATTACTACAAATAAACTGATTTCATGGTTACCCATTCGAGATGCAATACACTCCAGGTACTTTGCATTTGCTCTCTGCACTGTGCTTGCTGGGAATGACAAGTGCCAGGAACCACTCAGCTCAACCCTGGCAGGGGCCTGGCATTTGAAAGACTCCTTATTGACAATTTAAATTCTTTTTCTTCCATTTCTTAAAAAAAACTTTTTTTTCTCTCAAAGCTCTGGGCACACTGCAATGATAAGAGGATTTAGAAACAAATTGCTTTCAAGTCAAATTAAATCACTGCAAACACTCATTCATCCAAACGCTGGTTAACAAACTTGTTTCCCTCCCGCCTTTTACAGAAAAGGGTAGGGAAGAAAGCAGCCCCGTTAGCTGCTTTCAAAGTTTGTAACTATGTACATAAAACGCGACGGTGAGATCCTTAGCGCCCCCCTCCCCATTCGGCTGCCCTTAGAGGACAATGAAATAGACGAGGGTGCATAATCACTCACACACCTACCAGGATTTTTTATGAAAATTGATTTTGATAACCCCCCTCCAAATAATAATAGCTACTTTCCCCATCTGCTTTAGGATACGATTTGTCTGGGCCCAGATGGTTGGCGCTCCTGGAGGGGGCGTGGGGTTGGGGGAAGGGTTACATTAGGAATTGGTTCTCCCGGCCGGTTTCAATAATTGCGGGGGAGGGGGTCGAAGGACGCTGCATTGCACTGTATTCTGCACTTCAAAGAGGTCGTCCACCCCCCACCCCCCGCCGAAGCTGTTATCTATGTAATCACGGCCTCACTACATTCTGGGGTCCGCTGAGTGAAAAAGGAGAGGGGGGAAAATCTGCTGGATTGACACAGCAAGGAAAAAAGTACACGGGTTTCATTTCAAAAGCATTTTAAAAGGCAGATTTAAAGTGTGGTTTTGTTTCGTGGGTGACAGGGGAGGGGGGGCTGTTTAAGGTTCCAGAGTAAGGAGGCAAGTAAGGCAGTAAGGGTGCTGATGCCAACGTCTGAATCTTGGCCCGGGACAAAATACTCTTGCAATTGCCCTTGGCCGGAGCTACCCAGACGGAGGCGGACGGCCAGGCTCGCGTCTGCTCTCCCAGGCGGAAGACCCCGTCGTCACCCCGCCGATACCACGGCGCCTCGGAGACTAGAAGTCAGAGGCGAGACCTCTAGAGGACCCAGGCCGGCGTCGCCGGCGTGAATGCAGGCCTCTGCGACCCAAGAAATGCTAAAGAGCCCCCAACAGGCCAGCCCTGTCGAATGAGAGCTCCAAAGCGAAATTCTCTGGCTTGCCCTGTGTTGCTTTCGCCGCTAGGAGACGCCTGTAACCCACGTTTGCGGCGAGAGTTCCCCCCTCAAACACAACTGCTACCAAAAAAAAAAAAAAAATGCAGCTCAAGCGTTAACAGTGGATGTAGTGATTATTTACAGGCAAATCTGGCCATCTCTCCACGTTCTCATCTCCACCTCGGGAAGCTCTCTGGCTCTCAGTGAACGTCCAAAGTCGGCTCAAACTTCAACTACATCTTGAGAGCACAAACCGTCTCCCGCAAACAATTTCCGGATCTGCCTTGTCATTCAGCCGCATGTCTCTCACAGGCAAACACGCGCGCACACGGGCACACACACAAGTGTTTCCGTATGTACAAATGAAATATTAGAAAATTACCGTCATTTAAAAAATGCTCCAGGATTCTGATGAGTCAGCTTGGAAGACCTCAAAACTTGTCATTTCAATCCTTCAGATCTAAAGAAAAAACAGGGAGGGGGAGGGGTAGAAAGTACAGATGCAATGCCGTTATTAATATTCAGATACACTATAATCTCCTTTTCACTGATCCACAGGTCCTTTTATAAACTGACGCTCCATTCGCAGCCGCAGACGTGATGCTAAAATCATTTCAACTGCAGCGGTTTTCTCTTGGCTTTGGCCAATCGTCAATTTACTGCAGCTGGAAAAGGATTAGCCATTTTTGCTGGCATCCTTTCCTTCTAACCGCTCAAAGGCAGGACCCATCTCCATGAAAGAGCCAAGGAGGGCGGGGGGCTAGGGCAGCAGACACGCACTCGCAGGGGTATGCCTCAGTCTATAATCACGCCCATGGCCACTCGCCCTCCTTAATTCCCCGCCAGGAGGGAATGGCAACGTACCTCGGGGTCGGGGAAACGACTCTCCTATTCCCGCAGGTTGTGGCGGTGTTGCTCTCAGGTCATTCATTACCAGGAAGCCCCAAGGGACCTTCCCATCCTGTGGCATAAGAAGGAAACTGAACAAGGGCGGCTTGCGTCTGAATAAACAACCCCTTACAGCCCACTAATTAATACACAATTATGTTTTGTGGGTTTTTTAAAAAAATCTTTTCTTGGAGAATTAACATTCAATCCACTCTCTCGCACTGAAGAGTTCGCGCTCTATTTCAACTTCACAGGAACTGGGTGCGTTTACGCGCCGCTTTGCCCCCGCGCCTCAGGAGTGAGCCCTCGCGGCTCGTCAAGCGCATCCTTCGCGACCCGGAAGGAGGGGTGGAGGGTACTCCGTTGGAGCTGTGCGCTGGACCAGGAAGGATGGATGCGAGCACCGTGAATGTGCAAGCGCGTTCGCAGATACCCGCAGCGGCACACACTCCGGCCCCGCGTGTGCAGCGACCTAGCCCATGCACCCACCCCCGCCTCCGCCCGCGCCCGCGTTCGCCGCCGCCCAGCTGCCCTCATCCAGCGGTCTTGCCCCAAGCTGGGCAAGAATCGGCGCTCCGGTCTAGCAGAGGGCGGAGGGGGGAGCTCTCCAATTGTCAGAATAAGCAGAAAAAAGCCTGTGCGCGCCGCCGCGGCGTCGCATCTTGGCCGGGGGGACGCGCAGGGATATCCACGGCGCTTTGCAGCGAACAAGCCAGAGGCCCGCGAGGCCGGCGTTAGGCGGGCGGGCTCCAAAGCGGAGCTCAGATGAAACTCCTCAGTCACTGACCAAAGCGTTCACAGCTCAAACCGGGTCCCCAAGCGCATTAATCTATTTGGTAAGAATATTGTGGATGTACGTTTAGGAAGGGAAGAGGTAAGTCTAACGCGGCCGCACGTCTATAGGAGCCGCCAGCCCTCAGCCCTGGGCTTGAATACCGCGGTTTTTCAGGACCCACCTAAGCTTCACCCCTTCCTACACGGCCCCTTCAGACCCTCACACTTAGTTTAACACAGTCCTTATCGTATCTGTTTTTTAAAAGTCCTGCCAATCTCCACCAGAGTCCCTTAATTAGGTAACCCCTGCCAATTAGTGGCCCCTCTGCAACTTTTTCCTGTTCTCGGTGACTTATTTCCACGATCAGTAGCAAGGAAAATACCTTAAAGGAAAAAGAATGCTAGCGTCATTGGAAACCCCGCTCCTGGGAGAGGATACCGCTGCTGCTATTATGTTTTCGCATTTGCTGATGCAAACAGGGGAACCTCTCTATTCCCTCGCCATTACCTGCGGCCGGGGACTGGGAACTTTCCGTGGCAGAGTCCCAGCTAGCGCCTCGGGACCTGCCGGGCTGTGGTCGCGCTCACACTCACACTCACCCCGGCAGCCCGGGAGCGGGCTGCATCCCGCCCGGCCCGGTTGCTTGCGTGACGCGCCTGCTTGACGGTCAGGTTGGCCAATTAGCGGTGGCTCGGTGGGTGGTGCTCCTCAGCGATTGGTTGGCAGAATGAGGGCGCTGCGCAAAAACAGAGAAGCGGAGCGCTCGGAGCTCAGAAACTGCCAGCCGAGATCGCAGACTCTGGGGTTGAGGCAGGAGGAGGGAAGGACTGGAAAGAAGAGAGATAGGTTAGAGGGAAAAAGAGGCTTGGGAAGGAAACAGCAAGAAAGAAACTGCTCTTCACACTTACAGAGAGGCAAACGACGGTGGAGATGAGGACAGAGAGCAAGGCTGTGAAAGCCAAAAAATACAAATAGAGCGAAAGAGGAAAAAATGCCAAGAAGAACATCCATCCGGAGAAATGAAGAGAATGAAAGTTTTATGCTGCAGAATCGTTCTATGCTTTTTCGGCACAAAATTCTCTCGCCGTTTTTAAGCTCTTCTGCATTTGCCAGCCGTTGACGTTAAGAGGCATGTTCAGCGGTGCCAACAGCATCTCCTCTTCCTCTTCATCTTCCACCTCATTCTTCTCCTCCCATCAGCAAGAAGACAAACCGAGGACAGTCTTGAAATATCAAATTTTCCTCCTTGGGCTTTGCCAGCACCGCGTTGCGCCAAGACTGTCGGAATAAAGGACGCTGACTATTGTTATTATTTTATTAATTGGTCAGTGGGAAGATTATAGATGAGGAAAGGGGACGCCTGTCACCCTTCCTGCGCTAAGACTGAAAAATTAGGCTGAACTGGGGGAAACCCTAAAATGAGGCAAAAGGAATTAGATTTTTAAGGACAGAAAGCCACAAGACAGGCCCCCCCCCCCACACACACACACACAGAGCGCACTTTTATTTGAGTTTTTTTTTTTTTTTTTTTCGTGGTGGCTGGGGAGGCGATTGGGTGGCTGGCTGGCTGCGGGAAGCTGCTTCCTTTCCCTTTGGAGATGATTGTGCTATTATTCTTCGCCTTGCTCTGGATGGTGGAAGGCGTCTTTTCCCAGCTTCACTACACGGTCCAGGAGGAGCAGGAACATGGCACTTTCGTGGGGAATATCGCTGAAGATCTGGGCTTGGACATTACAAAACTTTCGGCTCGCGGGTTTCAAACGGCGCCCAACTCTCGGACCCCTTACTTGGACCTCAACCTGGAGACCGGGGTGCTGTACGTGAACGAGAAGATTGACCGCGAGCAAATCTGCAAGCAGAGCCCTTCCTGCGTCCTGCACCTGGAGGTCTTCCTGGAAAACCCCCTGGAGCTGTTCCGGGTGGAGATCGAGGTGTTGGACATCAATGACAACCCCCCCTCCTTCCCGGAGCCGGACCTGACCGTGGAGATCTCTGAGAGCGCCACGCCGGGCACCCGCTTCCCCTTGGAGAGCGCATTCGACCCAGACGTGGGCACCAACTCCTTGCGCGACTACGAGATCACCCCCAACAGCTACTTCTCCCTGGACGTGCAGACCCAGGGGGATGGCAACCGATTCGCCGAGCTGGTGCTGGAGAAGCCGCTGGACCGAGAGCAGCAAGCGGTGCACCGCTACGTGCTGACCGCGGTGGACGGGGGAGGAGGGGCCGGAGGAGGCGGAGCGGGAGGGGGCCTGCTCCCCCAGCAGCAGCGCACCGGCACGGCCCTACTCACCATCCGAGTGCTGGACTCCAACGACAATGTGCCCGCCTTCGACCAACCCGTCTACACTGTGTCCCTCCCAGAAAACTCGCCGCCGGGCACGCTCGTGATCCAGCTTAACGCCACGGACCCAGATGAGGGCCAGAATGGCGAGGTCGTGTATTCCTTCAGCAGCCACATTTCGCCCCGGGCGCGGGAGCTCTTCGGACTCTCTCCTCGCACTGGCCGACTGGAGGTGAGCGGCGAGCTGGACTACGAAGAGAGCCCAGTGTACCAAGTGTACGTACAAGCCAAGGACCTGGGCCCCAACGCCGTGCCCGCGCACTGCAAGGTGATCGTGAGAGTGCTGGATGCTAACGACAACGCGCCGGAGATCAGCTTCAGCACCGTGAAGGAGGCGGTGAGCGAAGGCGCGGCGCCCGGCACGGTGGTGGCCTTGTTCAGCGTGACCGACCGCGACTCAGAGGAGAATGGGCAGGTGCAGTGCGAGCTGCTGGGGGATGTGCCGTTCCGCCTCAAGTCTTCCTTCAAAAACTACTATACCATCGTGACCGAGGCCCCTCTGGACCGAGAGGCGGGGGACTCCTACACCCTGACCGTGGTGGCTCGGGACCGGGGCGAGCCTGCGCTCTCCACCAGCAAGTCGATCCAGGTGCAGGTGTCCGATGTGAACGACAACGCACCGCGATTCAGCCAGCCGGTCTACGACGTGTATGTGACCGAAAACAATGTGCCGGGCGCCTACATCTACGCGGTGAGCGCCACAGACCGTGACGAGGGCGCCAACGCCCAGCTAGCCTACTCTATCCTCGAGTGCCAGATCCAGGGCATGAGTGTCTTCACTTACGTATCCATCAACTCCGAGAACGGCTACTTGTACGCCCTGCGCTCCTTCGACCACGAGCAGCTCAAGGACTTCAGCTTCCAGGTGGAAGCCCGGGACGCCGGCAGCCCCCAGGCGCTGGCTGGCAACGCCACTGTCAACATCCTCATCGTGGATCAGAACGACAACGCCCCTGCCATAGTGGCGCCCCTTCCGGGGCGCAACGGGACTCCGGCGCGCGAGGTGCTGCCCCGCTCGGCGGAGCCCGGTTACCTGCTGACCCGCGTAGCCGCGGTGGACGCGGACGACGGCGAGAACGCCCGGCTCACCTACAGCATTGTGCGGGGTAACGAAATGAACCTCTTCCGCATGGATTGGCGCACCGGGGAGCTCCGCACGGCGCGCCGGGTGCCGGCCAAGCGCGACCCCCAGCGGCCTTACGAGCTGGTGATCGAGGTGCGAGACCACGGGCAACCTCCCCTGTCCTCCACCGCCACCCTGGTGGTGCAGCTGGTGGATGGCGCTGTCGAGCCCCAGGGCGGGGGCGGGGGCGGGGGCGGGGGGTCAGGGGAGCACCAGCGCCCCAGCCGCTCCGGCAGCGGGGAGACCTCGCTGGACCTCACCCTCATTCTCATCATCGCGCTGGGCTCCGTGTCCTTCATCTTCCTGCTGGCCATGATCGTGCTGGCCGTGCGTTGCCAAAAAGAGAAGAAGCTCAACATCTACACGTGTCTGGCCAGCGACTGCTGCCTCTGCTGCTGCTGCTGCAGCGGTGGCGGCTCGACCTGCTGCGGCCGCCAAGCCCGGGCGCGTAAGAAGAAACTCAGCAAGTCGGACATCATGCTGGTGCAAAGCTCCAACGTAGCCAGTAACCCGGCCCAAGTGCCGGTGGAGGAGTCCGGGGGCTTTGGCTCCCATCACCACAACCAGAATTACTGCTACCAGGTCTGCCTGACCCCCGAGTCCGCCAAGACCGACCTGATGTTCCTTAAACCCTGCAGCCCTTCGCGGAGTACGGACACTGAGCACAACCCTTGCGGGGCCATCGTCACCGGCTACACAGACCAGCAGCCCGACATCATCTCCAACGGAAGCATTTTGTCCAACGAGGTAAGGCTGAAGCGCCAGGACCACCAGCTCTCATCTCCTCCATCCGAAAGCCTCCTCTAGCCCGGCCCTTGTATCTCTGGTGCACTGTGTATTTATTTTTAGGATATTAGCTCACTTGTATCTTTGTGGAGGCAGGAATGGGGAGTCACCTCTCCCACCCTTTCGTGTGTAACTTAAACTTCGTGTTGTCCCTAATTTTCTGCGCTCCACCCCTCCACGTTTATTTTCATTCCCCTCCTTTGGTGCTTTGCCGCCTTGGACCTTCCCTCTTCCCTCTGGCATCTTTCCTTTAAAATCCCAACCCCCCTCTCAGTCTTTTCCCTTCTTAGAAATCTGGGGGTAAAGGGGAAAGTGCGCGGCGGGGAGAGGGAAACGCAGTGGAGGGACCTTCTGGCGCTGGCAAAGGTGTTTTTTTTTTTTCTCTTTGCATTTGTCCCAGGCGTTAATAAAGTTCATTGTTTTGCTTTGTTTATCGATGCTTTCAGTCGCGTGTAAAAGTAAGCTATAGATTGTTTAACTTTGCACAGTTGTCTAAACTTGAATGCATGTTTTAGTGAATGAGTTATCAGATCCTTGTCCTTTGAACTCGGGTTGCAAAAAAGCCTTCAGTTCTGCTCTGGACAGCATTTACAGACGCTCTTGAAGCCGAACGCCCACACAGTGTGAATTTGAATGAAGTTGCTTTGGCACAAGCCCCTGTAAGCGTAAACTAACGGAAGGCTTAAACAATTGTTGTCTTGAGTATATTTTTTAGCTAATAATTACCTTCTTGCCACCGTTTTGGATAAATCACTGCTGTTGGCTTTCTTCATCCAAGAATTTGGCTTGTCAATTGCAATTTCTTTTTATAAGATGGAGAAGTAGCGAAGTTGAAAGGAGGGAGGGAGGGGGGAGAACGGAGTTGATTTCTGTAAAAGCAAGTTTGGACCGGAAAAGGCGTGTGGGTGCTGGAGGCGGGGAGGGGAATGCAGGGGGTGTTTGGAGGGGGAAAAGAATTGGGGCCAGGAGGGAAGGGAGGATTATGAACTCCTTTCTTGGCAGATTATTTCATTTATTTTGAGTCTTAGATATTATTAATTGACTTTCATGAATATTTGTACAGCTCATTTGTATCTTAAGCACATTTTGAAAATAAACAACAAAATAATTCCATAAAATATCCAAACTTTTTGCTTATTGAGCGTGCTGTTTTTCTTGTGTCAACCAGTATGCACCTAAACACTTTTTTAGGCCACTGGAAAAGAAAGACTGCAGCATATATAACTAGGTTGACCCTATTGGAGACAATAGTTTATGAGCCCCAGCTATGAGGTCATTTGCATTCTCTCCTTAACACACACACACACACACACACACACACACACACACACACACTTAAAATTGGCCTTTTATCTCTGCATTTTTTTAAACCTTTACTGAAAATCTAGATTGAAGTGTCTCTGCATATCTTCTTGCTTTTACCCAGCAATCACTAGTCTGAGGTTTTAGGACAGCTTAGAAATTCAGAAAAAGGTACACAATTACTTAAGCTAGAATTAGTTCCTAACTTCAAAAGCAGACTTGTTAGTTAAACTCTTAGCATTCAAATGCTCTTGATTTTTTTTTTTTTTTTTTTAGACTAAACACCAGCGAGCAGAGCTCAGCTATCTAGTTGACAGACCTCGCCGAGTTAACAGGTATGGACTCTTTTTTTTTTTTTTCCTAGCTTGGTGTATGGACAAATTACTACCTACTAAAAGTAGGAATTAGGTATATTATTCAATATCAAAATAGAAAATGATAAAGTATTTCCAATTAGGGCAGGACATAAATACTGATCACGTTAGGTTTCCTAGACAATAAACTTTAAAAATATTGGTGTGTTTCATTTACATACAACCACTAAGTATACCTGAATATTTTGTCAGTTTACACTCCTACACTGCTTCTAATAATCTTCCTAGCTGTTCCAGATATATACATATATATATCTTCTATGAAAATGATATAAACATATGCTTAGTTCCAATCACAGAATAATGGCTAAACTTTACATGCCTTAACGGCTCCAACTAATGGCTAATGTTTAATTTTAGAGAGTTAGGCTTAAGGTTATGAAAACTAGCTTTAAGCAGAAATAAAGCCACCTTAGAGCTCTAGGCGTCTGCAGCACCATCAGTGACCATGTGGTGGCAGAAGAATGTTTTCGGTGTTTCTTCACCTTTTTTATTCTAATATTCACATTTTTGTACTTCTAGTTCTGCATTCCAGGAAGCCGACATAGTAAGCTCTAAGGACAGTGGCCATGGAGACAGTGAACAGGGAGATAGTGATCACGATGCCACCAACCGCGGCCAGTCAGCTGGTAAGTGTGATGAAAGGGCAATGCTGACTTTTATAGTGTTTTTCAAAAATCAATCCTGAAAGGATGATGTTCTAGGTAATTTTTAGTGTTGGTAAATCTACAGAAGAACGGTGCGATCCTATGTCGACAATTGTATACTCAAAGAGGATTGTAGTATTTAATGTTCCTTCAGAGAATGAAAGTTAGAAATTCATTGTGGAATATGTTAGACTATGAAACATTTCTTTTTTATATAATGTTCTTTCCTGGAATTATACTGCATACAAAAGCCATAGATTTCTCACGTGGTCCAGTCCTCAGTCTTCAGTCAATTACGATATTATTAGACGTGCTTACGGATGAGGTAACTGAAGATGAATGAAATTGGTTGACCTGCACAAGGTCACAAGAGGATGAGTGGATGATTGAGGACCAGAACCCAAATTTCTCCATTTCCAGAGCAATGCATTTTACATGTCAACGAATATTGAATGAGAGAAGGAATGGTGATTAAAATCATGAATAGGTTGAAAGCAGGATTTCCAATCCCGGGTTTTCAGGCTTCAGGACACTAATTAACATTTGATAATGTGTATTTTCTGAAGCATCCTAGGTTCCCTCATATTTTCATTGGATCCATGTTCAAAAGTTGAACTCTAGGTATATTTGTATGTGGGCTTAATGGTATTCACTGATGGAGGTTGCAATGTGATACGTATTTTTTACTTTGCTTTACTTTATCTTACTTTACTTTTTTGCTTTTGCTTTTTCAATTGAGTTTTGTGTTTATCTGACACATAAAGAAAGGCAAAGGCAAGCTAACTTTTATAACTTCTAAGATGCCCATCATTGGACTGTCTCGAGGTCCAACTTCATTCACTTGAGCTTTATTTTGGTTAGTGATTAAGTGTAGGGTGATAGGGTTCTCATTTTCAAGGTACCATTGATCCTCGAGAGCACCCATTCCTTAACACGCTCCCTGGGCCTCTGAACGGTGCTGACGCAGTGTGCCAAAGGGCAGTATCAGCCCCACGGTCGCCTGGCAGCAGTGGTGGCTGCAAGCCTCTCACTTGGCTTATGTGTGCCGTGTCTGAGGCTGCCTTAGCCTTGGGAAACGCAGGCAGGAGGAGAGGAAAAAAAGGCTGCTCAAGGGTCTCTTTATATTGCTGCAAGTCATTAATATGCAGACCTAATGAGACTTGAGAACTGCCAAGAATCCCCGGAGGTCCCTGCCCCTTGCGGGCCTTCACGCTAAGTGAACAGAGCATCTATTTAGTGTCTGGGAACCTGACAACAAACCAGATCTTGCCAGAAGTTTATATTTGAGTACAAAGTCCCTTTCATTTTTGGCCTATATATGACATATGATTTATTGTTATCTTTTAAAAGGTATATGTTTAGAATTGCTCATTCCTATTCCTTTTTCAGAGTTTCTAATTTAATAGTCCACCTTTTAAAACTTTTGAAACAAAATGCTTAATATTAAAAAAAAAAAGAGTATCCACTGCTGCATGGTTCCTTGGGTGCACTTTATTCCTTTCCCACTCCCCCCTACTTTGTTTTTTTAGTTTTTGAGCCATAATAACCTAACTGAAGAAAGAGAAATGAATAAACATCTGCAAAAAGTGTTAAATTTGGAACATGGATGGGAATACATTCTTATCAGTGCGCCTTCCCACTAGCTCTTTTATTTCACAGGCGCTCAATGTTGCCATTTTGGTAATGTTTCTTTTAAATTATTTGAGATGTCAAAACATTAAAAGGAAATTTTAAATGCTAAATTGTGTAAGGAAAACATATTTAAAAGCAGGCAGTTTTTCTTATCAAAATGGCAAATTCTTTTTTCTATCTTTAAGTTCTTAAATATGTAAAAGTATTACAGAATTAACAATCGACTTCATTAGCAGTTATAGAGCTGCCACCACATACTGGGCACAATGATAGCTGTTTTCAAATTGTAATAACACACTCGTATTAAGAAGTAATTATACCTTTGTGTGCTGAATTTAAGTCAGATTTAATATGTCTAAGTTTATTGTAAAAATGATTTTGAAGTGTTTACCTTATAAAGTATAAAACCCTAAATGCAGAGAATTAAGATGCATATACTTAATGACTTTTTCCTCTCCGTTCTTTGTTGTGTACTATAAACTTTACACCAAGTAGCTACAGTATTTCCAAAAAGTTAAGCCTATTTCAGGTAAATAAGTACATCTGCTTTATTTCCTTCTAAAACCAAGTATAGATGGTCTTCCAATTTTGCAATATTTAGGGAATATTCTTCATAGCACATACATTTCCAGGTTTAGAATATGAAAAACTTTTGTGCTAATAAGCAGATCCCACTGAGCTAGGTTATAAAGGGGGAAAGTTAGACTATCAAGGAAAAACAGCACTGAAAAGAAATATATTCTGAATTCTTTAGTTTGTACCTCATTTCATATTACATTATATACACTGTTTAGCTTAGTAATTCACCTGTTTAAACTTCCTAAGTTTTTATTTATTCCCACTTTCTTTTTCTATGTTAACATTAGCTTGTATTTATTTATTTGGATATTCTTTCTATTTATTCTTCTATGAATAGTTTTCCTTTTTGTTCTTTCTCCTCCCTCCCCCTCTTGCTTTTCTCCTTTCTAAGCCATTTGCAGTCACCAATCTTGTTCATAGAAGGGCTTTAAACACGGAGGCAGCTGCACAGAGAATCACATAAGCTTTTTCAGTTTTCCACTGCACCTGGCTCCATGTGTGAAATTCTTCGGCTTGACCACAGCTCTGTGGCACTTACTTTCTATAGCCTTGTCAAGGTGCTTTCCGTTTTTTTCAGTGCACTATTGATGTATTGGTTAGATATGGCAGAAGTCCAAAGAGATGTGGTAAACGCTTACATAAACCATCACAAGGGGAGAAACTGATTAATCACGGCTTAAATAGCAAAAAAATAAATAAATAAACAATAAAATGAACTTAAAACCAATATATTTTCAATTTTATAATACCATTAGATTAAAAGATAGAATTTTTGTCTAATTTAAATACTGATACAACATTTTTAGTTGTATATTCTTAAACATTTTAATATTATTGGAGGTAGATCTAAGGCAATCTATTTAATTGTGAGAAATATTTTTCCATTTATTAAATACTTACAATGTACATACTAGGATTAATTATGAATTTATTTTTAATAATTGTGCCTTCTTGAAATATGTATTGAAGAAGAAAACCCTAGTAAGTGATGATTCAGTTAATGTTACTTGTTATATTTACCTGAAAATTTTCAAATTTCCCTTCTTGTAAATTTTTCTTTTAGTTATAAGGGAACTTAGCTTCTAAGTGTGTCAATTTCTTAACTAATTATCATGAGATTTATACATGACACATGGTCAAAACTTGGCTATAAGTTTAAAAAATTAAGTGATTCGTATTACTGATATTTACATACTAGTAGATAAAGTATATCATGAAATACATTAAGCCACTGCACTACTACTACAATGTCAATAAGAGAATTCTTGGTTTATCATAAAATACAAATTTCCCTTTCCTGACTCCAATAAGAATTTAGATACTGACAATTAGTTTCTGGCTTTATAAATAAAGTGAATTCATACCATTGCCTGAATAAGCAAAAACTTTCTGTTAAAGTTTCTGGTGAAAATGTGAGCTACAACTTGATAATGAGGAGACATTTACAATTGGAAAAAATATAAGACAAATGTTAAGAGAAAACAGAGGAAAATATAAACATTTTGAAAGATAAGTAAGGAGAAAATTTTGATGTGCATGTTTTGATTTTTTTCATGGGTGAATTATGTTGTTAAATCTCTGCTCTCAAACCAAATTTTCCTAAAAATTATAGCAATTTTTATGGTTAGAGTTAATATCTGTAATTTCTCCAGTGTTAAATAATTAAAGGAAGACTTGAAATTTCCTTCAAAACTTGAGTGTTGATTTTTTAAAATATTTATCATATTTGGGAAAAAAAAACCCACATTTTTTCTGAAGGCTTGGTACGTGAGAGAGAAATGAGCATGTAATTTTATAGTATTACATTCATGAGAAAACAGCACAAATTGAATACAGATACATTTTTGGAATCAATTTGTTCTCAGTGGTAATATCACTGCCTCTGACTGTAAGGGATCAAGTTACTTGCCAGTTAAAAAAGATGTATTTTAAAATTTGTCTGAATATATCTTTGCATACAGGCAGTCTATCACTTCAGCTGTCATGTCTTGTAGAACAGACATTTCTGAGAAGTGGAAAAAAATAAATAAATAGGATAAGAAATTGTAAGTAAAATATGTATGTTGAAATGCTTCTTAGGAATTACCAAAACTTCAAAACTCAGGCTTGGCCTGTATTTGTCTGCTATACAAATCCCACAGGTTCTAAAGTAAGGGCATTTGAACAAGAAGAAAAAAAAAAAGAAGTTAAACTTATTTTCTCTTGGGACTTCAGTTTGAGCTGTTAAAAAATTCCGAAAGCAATGTGAAAGGTACGCATTTTTAAATGTCCCATGTACTGAAATAACTGACATTCCTGTCCTTTGTTCAGTCATTTACCACCACAAAACTTAAATATGCCTCTGCTTATCTGGTCATTAAAGTAACATATTTAGGGCTTCCCTGGTTGTGCAGTGGTTGAGAGTCCGCCTGCCGATGCAGGGAACACGGGTTCGTGCCCTGGTCCGGGAGGATCCCACATGCCGCGGAGCGGCTGGGCCCGTGAGCCACGGCCGCTGAGCCTGTG